GGCCTAGACCCTTCATCTGATGAAGGGTCTAGGCCCGAAACGTCAGCCTCTCTGCTCCTATGATGCTGCTTGGCCTGCTGTGTTCATCCAGCCCTGCACCTTGTTGTCTTTAATTCATCATTAGTGCCTTTTGGAATACTGTTGAATGTCAGTTTGCACTTTTGCTTGAACTTCCTGAATACTACCATGACACCATTCATCATTTTACTTTTGTGCGATTGTTTATTGGGTCACTAATTCATACAGTGCAGAAAGGCCCCAAACAAATTTGTTAGGCATGATCTCCCTCTGACAAAGCTAAGCCTAATTAACCCATGGCTTTCCAAGTGGATATTAAATTCACTCCTTCAGGATTTTCTGGTTCCAGTCACCACATCCCTCCACCCCAAGTCCGGGGATGTAGGCCTGGTCTTTCTCTTGTAGCTTCTCTTGCAAAAATTTTGCCCCCGGTCCAGTTCCTCTCACTCAGACAGTGACACGGGCAGTGTGCACTGGACTGTAACCCGTATCTTGCGCCTGGAGCATCTCGGGAAATTTTCCTTGTCTTCTTTTGGTAGTAACCGCATCGAGGCTATATCCATCTTGGACTCCGAGGTTTCCTTGACACTAGGTGGAGGGGGAGAACCTGCAATTTCTGCTGCGCCTTCTGGCTGTTCTGAGGGGCCCCGTATGTTTTGCCCGTGCCCCATTTGCCAGGTAACAGCTTTCAGATGATCCATGTGTTTGTTCAGGACTGCATCACCTACCCAAACTTTGTAAGTTACGGGACCTGACCTCGCATCAACCTCACCTCGCATGCACACAGGGCCATTTCCGAGGTTCCAGCACCATACTTTGTTCCCTGAATTAAACTGTCTCTCTCGCTTAGAGGAGGCATTTGGCTGATATTGGTGCTCCTGCTGCCATTTCACCCTTCCCCCCCCCCTCACCAGGTCTGGAAATATCAGGTTTAACCTAGTGCAGAGCCTTCTCCCCATCAGCAGCTCTGCTGGAGGAGCTATCCCTGTTTGTTGCGAGCAGAGTGGTCCTATGATTGAACAGGAACCCGGACAGGTTGGTATCAATTGGACGCTGTCGGCTGCTTCTTTAAGTCTGCCTTCAGCTTTTGGATTGCTCTTTCCGCTAGACCAGTTGCGTGTCAACTATGCCAGCCCTATCATCGAACCAATGTCCCTGGTCATTGTGGACACCCATTCATAGTGGTTGGACGTGCGTAAAATTTGTTTGGCAAACTCAGGGTTGACAATTGAGAAGCTCCAAGCATGATTCGCATTACACAGTCTCCTGGAAGTACTGGTCACGGACAATGAGACGTCATTTGCCAGCAGACAATTTGAATATTTCCTAAAGTCAAATGTGGCATTCGTCACATAAGGAACAGCTCCATACCACCCATCATCCAATGGTGTAGCGGAAAGAGCCATTCCTACGAATGTGGGGCCCCACTGGTGGCAATTTTTGTTGTAGTTGGCACTCTGGGCAGTGCCCCACCAACATAGCTATGTCAATATCCAACCCTGGCCACCAGACATAGCTTCTTGCTAGCATCTTCATCTTAGAAACCCCTGGACGACCCTGGTGGAGTTCAGTCGGTGTCTAATGGTGACCTTTACACAGGACAGTCACCCTTGCTGCCCACTGTAATATGCTGTCCTCTACGGTGATCTGGTTTCACTGGGTCCAGAAAGGTTTTAATCCTGGTTGTGATGGCCCTTCTGTCTCCCCCATTACCACAAGCTGTTTTAGTTTCGCTAGATCAGGATCTGTTTGTGTCCACAGTCAGATATTGTCAGCGGTATCTGGAAGGGTGTCCAGGGAGTTTAAAAACCAAAACAGACCCTTCCAGGGGAGGGCACCACTGGTGGAGTATCTGCCAGTGGGAGGCAGCTCAGGATATCCGCATTAGCCACTTGGCTTCCTGGACGGTGTTCTAACTTGTAGGTGTACGCGCTGAGAATGAGGGCCCAACACTGAATTCTACTGGAAGCTACGGGCGGCACTGCCTTGTCTTCCTTCAGTAGCCCTAGCAGGGGTTTTTGATCTGCTGCTATGACAAATTCCCATCCATAAAGGTACTGGTGGTACTTCCTCACACCAAAGATGTCAGAACTACCTTGCACTTCGGATCATTGTGGGCCAACATTTGGGTGACGATAGCTGCCTTTTCACTTCCCTGAAGGCTACTTCTAAACTATGTGACCATTTCCACGGCTGACCCTTTTGCAATAGCAGGTGTAAGGGTGCCAAGATGGAGGCCAGGTTAGGTATGAATTTTCTGTAATAATTCACAAACCCAAGGAAAAGCCTAAGCTCTGGTCCAGACGTGGGAGCCAGGGCGCTTTTGATTGCTCTCACTTTCTCTTCCAACGGGTGTAACCTGGTTTTGTCAACTCTGTAACTCAAGTAGGTCACTTCAGGTGCCTGGAACACACATTTTTCCCTTCTCAGGCGTACGCCTGTCTGGGGGAAACATTTAAGCACTATGTCCAAAGTTCTCCAAGTGCTCTTTATTGGTCTTCCCTGTTATTAGTATGTCTTCCAGATAAATGGAAACCTGGAGTAACCCCAGTAAAATGCTCTCCAGCATCCGCTGGAAAAGGGCACAGGCTGATGATACCTCAAAGTGGCAGTCTTGTATATTGATATAAATCCTTATGGGTATTGATTGTAACGTACTTCTGGGACTCCTCATCCAGTCACAATTCCGGTTGGGTGTGGCTCATGTCCAGCTTTATAAAAGACAGAACCCCCCCCAACTTTGCGTACAAGTCCTCTATGTGAGGGTTTGGTAATTATCCAGCTGCGAGAAGCGGTTTACAGTTTGCCTAACATCCCCATGAAGGCAAACTGAGCCATCAGGGTTCACCATTGGTATGACTGGTGCTGCCCATTCTGCAAACTGCACAAGTTTGATGATTCCTTCACTCTCCAGCTCCTGATTTCAGCCTTTACTTTTGCCTGTGAGGCAAAGAGGACTGGGTAGGCCTTGCAAAATCTCAGAATTGCTTCCTGGTCAACATGTAAATGCCTTTGACAGTCTCAAGCCCATCCTAAAATACTCCTGTGTATTTCACTAGGATATCGCTGAGGCAGCCACTTTCTAATCAAAAAATTTTGTACCAATCTCACTGAGCCTTTTGCAACCAATTCCACCCCAACAGGCTTGGGCCCGAGCCTTTTACTACCATCATTGGTAACTGCACCAACTGCTTCTCATAGGAGATTCAAACCAAAGTCATATCCTTAATCTGCAACGGTTCCCCAGTGTATGTTCTTAGTCTGGCTGAGGTTTTGCACAAACTTAAGGGTTGGAGTCCCAGGCAAATCATGTTAAAGACAGGCTCTGCAACCACAGATACAGCTGCACCAGTATCAACCTCCATGGAAACTGGGTGACCATTTAACCAAACATTAGTTATAAATCGATTCCGATTTGGATGTCGCTAAGCATTTTAATTGTTCCAACCTACATGTAGGGGGACTTTGCAGGGTGTGCACTCTCTTGGGTACTGGCTACAAGTTTCTTACTCAAGCACGGCCTTGTAGGACTCTTTGCTCTCTCGAGTCCACATACTGCAAGGCTTGCCAGCCCAGATCCTGAAGAACTTTTTAAAACCACTTTGCCGAGGTTTAGCTTTGCTGTGGGGTTTTGCTGTGGGCTGGCCTAGGGTTCCTCTGCTCAGGATATGTCCACACTCAAGTGGTGCTCCCCAAGCTCAGTCGGACAGGTGAGGGAGTCCGCTTCCATTGGGATGTCCTGTATCTCCCATACTCCTCCACTATCCTCTTTTTCTAATGACAAAACCAACTGTAGTGCCTGTTTGAAGCCCAGGTAGGCGTCAGTTAGTAGGCACTTCTGCACAGTTCCATCATTAATCCTACATACCAAACATCCTCTCAGCAGCTCATTCAGGGTTAACCCAAAAATCACACGCTTGTCAAAAATCCTGAAACATGTTCCCCCGGTTCTCTAACTGCCAAATAAAACTGATAGTGTCTCAGAATTGGAAGAGGTTTGGGGTCATAATATTCCTTTACCAACTCCATCAACTCTTGGAAGGTTTAAGTGTCTGGTGCCTCTCGGAAAGTTGAGCTTCTTATAACCGAGAATGCTGCGGGTCTGCAAGCAGTCAGAAGGATTACTCGCTGCTTTTCGTCTCACCCCAGTGTCATTTGCCTGGAAAAAATATCATCTTCTTTCCACATACTGGGCCCGGTCTTTGACAGCAGGATCAAATGAGTCAAGCTGTCCAAATAAAGGCATGATGCCAGAAATGCTTACCCCAACTCCACGATAACTGCTGCAAGCGAATGTTCTTCAGGCACATCCTGCTTTCTCCCATCATCACTGAAATAACTGCACAGAGGCCGGTATCCCATCACTAAGTCATCCTTTATTTACCCGTGCGCAGAACACTGGCTGTAACCAGCCAGCTCAGAGACAGTTCTCCTGAACTGAGCAGATTCTAAATCTCCAAGTTTTTTTTTCCCACATTAAATACAATTCAAGTTACACAGAGAAAAATCAAACCTTGTACGTTTGACAATCTAAATTATTGCACTCTTTCAAAAAAAAAGCCTGTTTCGATTTGTTTTTTTTCCAAAAGTAAAAATGCATTGCAATTCATTCAAGTGAAGCCTGAGGTTTGAAGCTCAATTCACATTACAGTACTCATAAAACTTTCTGCCTACACGCTGAGCTGTCAGTCCAGACATGAAGGCCCAGTCCACACACGAAGGCTCAGTCTGGGGCCTACACACTAAAACAATGGCACAGAGGCCAGGTCCCATCACCAACTCAGCCTTTATTTGCTAGTGCTGTGGCTAGCCAGCTCAGTCAGTCACCTGAACTGAGGAGATTCTAAATCCTCGGCTTCAGATTGGTTTCACAGGTCGGCGCAACATCGAGGGCCGAAGGGCCTGTACTGCGCTGTAATGTTCTATGTTCTATGTTCTATGCTTACATTGGTCCTCTGCTTACATTGGTCAGCCAGGGCTTTCCTGATTCGCCCATGTTAATAACCCCAATCAAGGATCCTGTAGTCAACAACATCCAGCCGGTTCCAATCACTACAGTTTCCCTATCAGTGATATGAGACTTACCGGTCTGTAATCTCCTGGTTCATTTCCACCACCCCTCTTAAAAAGTGGAACCACACTGGCTGTCCTCCAGTCCTCTGGCACTTACCTGGTGGCCAGACAGGAATTAAGTTAATTTAGGTCAAATTCAAATGAAGTTAGCACGAAAATTATTCATAAAGCTTGACTTCTACTTGCAACGAAACCGCTGCCACCATGTTATATCTTATGGTTCCCACAACTCCATGAATTAGACTTTTGATTCAAGCTCCAGAATTTTGTTCATGCATTATTTATTGTGCGGTTGAATGATACAATGGGTGTTTGGTATGCAGACTGTACTCTGGTAGTAAGTGGGTTGGCATTACAGATATTGATATGCTGAAAACACATGGATCCCATGTCTTGCAACAATTTATCTTTCCAAAATTGTGAATTTGGATTTAGGGGGATCTCCTTTAATGGCACGACGATTGGGTTTGCACCTCTGATGGGCATGTGCTCAGATTACCAGTCAGGAGGGGTCAATATGGTAAGTGAATCGATATGTTGGCAGTTCTCACATTGTTAAGATTCATGTAGTTATGATCTATCAATCAACGTGGTTGGCATGGTGTTCGAACAATTAGTACCACAGAACAGAATTGTTTCAATGCCATTACTTCCTCCATTGTGAGTTATCTTACGTTAAGGATTAAAGGCATGACTGATCAGTAACTTGTAATAATGTTACTAGCATTTGAACTTTATTAATGCATTAAAGACATTCAAACCAATATTGCATCCAGAAGCTTTTCTATGTTGTTCCAAAATTGACTGCCACTATCAGTTAGGATGAATCAGCGTGGCATGTAGCAGCGTGTTTGTCCTCAGTCGTACTTAATGTGGGCAAGGGTTTAATAGTCAATCAATGGAGCAGTGCTCAAGCTTTAGATTTCCAGTGAAGAGGTGAGGTCACTGGGTGATAGGTGTGTATGTAGTGAGTGTGGATAGGAGCAGCCTTGGATGCAGTGCTCTCTTGTTGGCCTATTGCATGGAAAATGACCAGTGTCCATGGAGCCATGTTTTAACACAAGCAAAGAAGGGGTGCAGAGGGAACACGTGCATTTGTGGGTGTTATTTCAATGGTGCCAGCTTTGGCTTATGTGCCCACTGTGTATCAGTAAGCTGCACCCTTGCCTCTGAGCCACATGAGTTCAGGTTCCATTCCAAGACTCTTCTTCATAAAATCTAGTCTGACACTCCGCAGCGCTGCAATTTCAGAGCTGGCATCTTTTGGGTCAGATGTTTAATTGTGACTCCATCTGCCCAATCAGGGGCATAAAAGATGCTATACCACTATTTTGAAAAATAGTGGAAGATGCTCCCTGATGCACTGGACATTTAAACCACCCAAACAACATCATTTTTAAAAAAATACATTATCCCATTGCTGTGTGCATGAGCCTGCTATGAAAATTAGCTGCTGAATTTCTATTACAACAGTGATGACATTTTAAAAGCTTTTCACTGGCAGTAAAGATCTCTGAGTATTCTGAAACCTTATCAAGCCAAGTAAATTCTTTCTTTTCTTCTTGCCTTCTTTCTGTTTTTCCTTTCTTTCCTGGGTTCACATTGATCCTAATTATCATTTTATCAAAATCGCAGTTAATACAGAGAAAAACAAATTATTCGAACTTTAACAAATGCATGCCTGGAATGAATGTTAGATAGAAGCCACTTCAGTCACAAAGCTGGGAATCCTCCTTATGCCACTGATGTGTTCTCTCTCAGGATCACTCGGACAGTGCGATCGGAGTTGCAGCTACCATGGCACACGAAATGGGACACAACTTCGGGATGAGCCATGATGCTGATGGCTGCTGTACAGCTCGTCCAGAAGATGGAGGATGCATCATGGCCGCAGCCACTGGGTGAGATTGCACAGTCATTGGTATAATACCCCAGTGGTTCCTGTTAGAACAACATCAGTCCTCGGCTCACCCCCACATTGTAGCAATCAGCTCTTCTACAACTTGCAAAATTCATGAGTAGATTTCGAAGGTAGAATCAGAGAGTCGTGCAGCATGGAAACAGACTCTTCGGCCCAACTCGTCCAATTTTCCTAAACCAAACTAGTCCCATTTCCCTGTAAATGTTTCCTATCCGTGTACCTGTCCAAATTTATTTTACGTGTTATAATTGTACCCAGCTTCACCACTTCCTCTGGCAAGTCATTCCAGATACGCTCTACCCTCTGTGTGAAAAGGTTGCCCGTCAGGTCCCTGTTAAATCTTTCCCCTCTCACCTTAAACCTATGCCCTCTAGTTTTGGACTCCTCTACCCTGGGGAAAAGACCTTGGCTATTCACCCTATCGATGCCCCTCGTGATTTTATAAACCTCTACAAGGTCACTCCTCAGCCTCCTATCCTCCGGGGGAAAATGTCCCAGCCTATCCAGCCTCTCTTTATAACTCAAATTATGAGTTATTAAAAGTCTTTCCCAGTATCCAATAACCCTTATGGGCATCAACATGTACAAAACAGGGTTTGGAAATCTGCAATTTAGTAATTAAGAATGAATAATAAAGAAATTCTGGCTGTATTTTACCTCTTCTGTAGGTGTTTCCCTGAAAGCTGTGTAAAAGACATTGTATAATGAAAGGATGCTGATCAAGAATGTTGTGTCTGTTGTGTCTAAAGTCGCGAAACAATAGGGAGGATTGAACTGCTGACTAAACATTCTTAAAGACCAACACTTCTCATCCACTACCTTTATCCAGTATGTTAGGAGTGAAATAATACTTTGCTAGTTTCACCAGCATTTAGTTATTTCAGATTTTGTTTACAATTCCATCATACAATTCCAAACGATTCTTCTCCGTGTGTTGTGATCAACATTTATCCTTCAGTCAACCTCAATAAAACAAGTGACCTGGTTATTTATGTCACTGCTGTGTATGCCCCCTGTTGTGTTTGTCTGTGAAACAGCAACAACTAAACTTCAAAGGCTTCTCCAAAGTGGCTTTGAGCATCCTAACACCTCACTGGAAAGCTGGCACTTTCGCCAATGCAGCACTCATTCACTACTGCACAGGGAATGGTGCCCTGATCTATAGAACATAGAACAGTACACCACAGTACAGGCCCTTCAGCCCACGATGTTGTGCCAACCTATTATCCTACTCTTGTTTTTATGCTGAACTCACATGGAATGGGACTCAAATCTTAGGTCTAAATCTCTATACTTGAAGACTGTCTTGTTCAAAGGACATACCAAACTTCGCTCTAGTCTAAGAATTCATCTTGATCCAAGAATGATTGCCAAATTAATGCTTTCCCCATAACACCGAGCGTTTACTGCTCTTTGGCTCATACTACAAACTTATTTGGAATCTTTGGAAAATAATTAGAGTATTAACTTACTAGGATTCTTCTTCCGCACCCCACCAGTGCTCAAACTATTCTGACCCAGTTCAGACCTGTCTGCCCCAGGTGTGGTGATGTTGTTGCTGGGTAGGGCATTTAGTTAGGCAGGGTGGTGGTGTACCAAAATCCTGATACTATCTGGCCTCTGCCAGAATTAGGTTCAGGTCAGGAAAGCTATGGGCCTTCCTGTCGCACTATTAAATGAAGCCGTTAAGTGGCCAGTTAAGACGGACATCTCAAAACTGCTGGGATTGACCCAGCTACAAATGGGCATGTCACCATGCAACGTGTACGGGGACTGATACCCTGCAGGGTAGCGCTGATCAGGGCTTGCTCAAGGAGCTGGGCAGAGGGTTTTACTTGCTGGGAGCTCTTCTGACCCACTGTTCTCAGGACCCCCAGGACTGATTGACTGTCAACTCTTGTCCAGGTGGGACTTTACCACTGGGGTCACAATTCCAAGGGAAGGCCCACCCCATGGCCCCGCCACTGCCTGATGGGCGTTCCCCTGGAAGAGTCATCATTCGTCCCTTACCAGCTCTTCAACTGGCTGTCGAAACCTCCAATACATCAAGAAGATGCCACCTCCAGACTCAGCCTCTGTTCCTGGTCTAATCAATGCACAACCCAAACATGTCTGTGTGGAATGTTTTTTCAAAGAATCTGAATATCGCTAAAAACAGAGACCTGTTTTCACCTATCAGGGCAATCTGAATACCAAATTGTAAGCAATCACAAATTAAACTATAGGAGCAAAGAGTGTTGATTGATTGGCAAGTTGACACTATTTAGCTGACATATTGCCAAGCTTTGGAAAATATAGACTCCCCTGGTTCCCTCTTAATTCCATAAAGGTGCAAGACTTGAATATATCACATTGTTTGCAGAAAATAAGTCCCTGTCTATAAATGTGTGCCACTTCTAGCAAGCATAAATGAGCCACATAAAGACTTCAAATGATTATTTTAAATTGCTTGTTAATACCGTCACGCAGAACTATTCAGTAAGTGTCTCCCAATCACAGAATCACATCTAATCATAGACATTTTGTTTGGGGTTTGGTAAACCCGTACTCGTTCCACATGATTGTGACCATGCAAAACATTCGGTGTCCTCTTCTCGTGTAGGATACATTGTTGAGATTCTTTGGAATTTGATATTCTTGCGTTTGCTCTGATGAGTGCACACTGAAAACCTTCAACAGCCTGTCTCTATTTGCAGAAATATTCAAGTTCTGCAGTACCAACCAACTGTTTTCTTAACATCTACAGCCACTTTACAAATATCTTCATTTGTGTTTTTCTGTGAGCGAGACCATGTGCAGAAAGTTTATGTTATTCTGTTACTCTGAACTGATATCCATGGGTGTGACATTCCTTCTGATGCTCAGACATTAATGCTGACACCAGTGAGAGATATGCCATCGAGACATCAATTGCCTCAACCTCTCCACCCCTCTCCACCCCTCTCACCCACTTCAACCTCTCCCCCACAGAACGTGCAGCCCTCCGCTCCAACCCCAACCTCACCATAAAACCCGCGGACAAGGGAGGTGCAGTTGTAGTATGGCGCACTGACCTCTACATCGCCGAGGCCAGACGCTAGCTCTCTGACACCTCCTCCTACTGCCCCCTTGATCATGACCCTACCCCCGACCACCAAAACATCATCTCCCAAACCATCCACAACCTCATCACTTCAGGTGACCTCTCACCCACAGCCTCCAACCTCATTGTTCCCCAATCCCACACCGCCCGTTTCTATCTCCTTCCCAAAATCCACAAACCTGACTGCCCTGGTCGACCCATTGTCTCCGCCTGCTCCTGTCCCACCGAACGTATCTCTACCTATCCCAACTCCATTTTCTCTCCCTTGGTCCAGGAACTCCCCACCTACGTTCGTGACACCACCCACGCCTTCCACCTCCTCCAAAACTTCCATTTCCCTGGTCCCCAACACCTCATCTTTACCATGGGCATCCAGTCCCTATACACTTGCATTCCCCATGCAGATGGCCTGAAGGCCCTCCACTTCTTCCTATCCCGCAGGCCCAAGCAGTCCCCCTCCACTGACACCCTCATCCGCTTAGCTGAACTCGTCCTCACCCTTTACAACTTCTCCTTCAATTCCTCCCACTTCCAACAGACAAAGGGGGTGGCGTGGGCCCAAGCTATGCCTGCCTCTTTGTAGGATACGTGGAAAGATCCCTCTTCCGAAGCTACACTGGCCCTATCCCCCACCTCTTCCTCCGCTACATCGATGACTGTATTGGCGCTGCCTCGTGCTCCCGCAAGGAGCTTGAACAGTTCATCCACTTCACCAACACCTTCCACCCCAACCTTAAGTTCACCTGGACCATCTTCGATACCTCTCTCTCCTTCCTGGTCCTCCCTGTCTCCATCTCTGGCAACCACCTGGAAACCGATATCCATTTCAAACCTACCGACTCCCACAGCTACCTAGAATACACCTCCTCCCACTCACCTTCCTGCAAAAATGCTATCCCCTATTCCCAATTCCTTTGCCTCCGCCGTATCTGCTCCCAACATGAGGCATTCCACTCCCGGACATCCAGATGTCCTCGTTTTTCAAGGACCGCAACGTCCCCCCCACAGTGGTCGAAAACGCCCTCGACCGCGTCTCCCGCATTTTCCGCAACTCATCCCTCACACCCCCTCCCGCAATAACAACCAAAACAGAATCCCCCTCATCCTCACGTACCACCCCACCAACCTCCGGATCCAACGCATCATCCTCCGACACTTCCGCCACCTGCAATCCGACCCCACCACCAAAGACATTTTTCCCTCCCCACCCTTATCTGCTTTCCGGAGGGACCACTCTCTCCGTGACTCCCTCGTCCGCTCCACACTCCCCACCACACCCGGCACTTTCCCCTGCAACCGCAGGAAGTGCTACACCTGCCCCTACACCTCCCCCCTCACCCCCATCCCAGGCCCTAAGAAGACCTTTCACATCAAACAGATGTTCATCTGCACATTTGCTAATGTGGTGTACTGTATCCGCTGTTCCCGTTGTGGCCTCTTCTACATCGGGGAAACCAAGCGGAGGCTTGGGGACCGCTTTGTGGAACACCTACGCTCGGTTCGCACTAAACAACTGCACCTCCCAGTCGCAAACCATTTCAACTCCCCCTCCCACTCCTCAGATGACATGTCCATCCTGGGCCTCCTGCAGTGCCACAACGATGCCATCCGAAGATTGCAGGAACAGGATTTCATATTTCGCTTGGGAACCCTGCAGCCCGATGGTATCAATGTGGACTTCACAAGCTTCAAAATCTCCCCTTCCCTGACCGCATCCCAAAACCAGCCCAGCTTGTCCCCGCCTCCCTAACCTGTCCTTCCTCCCACCTATCCCCTCCTCCCACCTCAAGCCACACCCCCATTTCTTACCTACCAGCCTCGTCCCGTCCCCTTGACCTGTCCGTCCTCCCTGGACTGACCTATCCCCCCCTAACTCCCTACCTACACTCACCTTTACTGGCTCCACCCCTGCCTCTTTGACCTGTCTGTCTCCTCTCCACCTATCTTCTCCTCTATCCATCTTCAATCCGCCTCCCCCTCTCTCCCTATTTATTTCAGAATCCCCTTCCCCTCCCCCATTTCTGAAGAAGGGTCTCGGCCCGAAACGTCAGCTTTCCTGCTCCTCTAATGCTGTTTGGCCTCCAGTGTTCATCCAGCTCTACACCTTGTTATCTCAGATTCTCCAGCATCTGCAGTTCCTACTATCTGTGAGAGATATTAGTCCTGTTTTCAACTCCAGAAGGTTTTTGAGCAAGTGGATGGTGAGGTGGTTTGGAAATGTTGGTGTAGAAATCTATTGCAAACTATTTTAACTCATAAGCCTTACAGGTATACCATTTTCTGGTAAGTAGTGGAATTCATCTGACTGCCTTTAGGAAATCCTACACCCATGAAACCATCAACCTTTAATGAAACATCTCAGTTTGACTGCCTTAATGAGAGTCCCTAAACATGTCTTCTCGGAGAGGCTGTTGGCTAAACAGCTGTTATTTTTATGTCTGATTTATGAACTTTTTATAATTAAAAAATGTGGGCTGAGAAGAAGAAGAAGAAGAGAAAATTACATGCTTGTTTTAAAAATTCATTTGTGGGACTTGGGCGTTGTTGGCTGACCAGCATTTATTGCCCATCCCTAGCTGCCCTTGAGAAGGTGGTGGTGAGCTGCATTCATGAGTTGTTGTAGTCTACTTTCAAGAGGGAATTCCAGGATTTTGACCCAGTGACGGTGAAGGAACGGCGACATATTTCCAAGTCAGGATGCTGAGTGGCTTGGAGGCGAACTTGAAGGTGGTGGTGTTCCCATGTTTCTGTTGCCCTTGTCCTTCAAGATGGAAGTGGTCACGGGGTTGGAAGGTGCTGTCTGAGGATCTTTGCTGAATTTCGACATTTATCTTCATGCCCCGTAATATTTCACCTAGTTGCTCGCAGCAAGATCCTCGAGATGAATCTGTTATTCGTGGAGTCTCCAGGTCAGTTCTGGAGGGTTGTCAACCTTGATGTCAGTGACAGAAATTCAGTAAAGTTGAATCGGTATTTACTACAATATAATGTGAACAGACAGAGGCCAGAGTTCTCATTGCAGAGGATTATGATTTTGAGGTGAGCCAGCTTCAGTCTGTAGGACCAGCATTTCACTGTATGCATAGGACATGAAGGAAAAGCAGTCTTTTCACTGTGGTTTGTTCTGACCTGGACTTAGAATTGTACAAGCACCTTGGTGGTCCGCAAACATTCCTCGCCAACAATGATCAACTTGTATATTTCCATGTACAACAATTGGACTAACCAAATCAGGCCATAGCTGTTCCCTAAGGTCTGAATCATTCGTTGTATGTTCTGTCTGTTCATGCAATGTCATCAATGTCCGAATGTTGTTAATCATGCTTTGTGTCATGATATCACTCTGTGAACATAAGAACTAGGAGAAGGAGCAGGCCACTCAGCCCCTCTCGCCTGCTCCACTGTTCAGCAGATCATGACTGACTTATTTGTGGGCCAACTCTACATCCTGGCCACCCCTGGATAATCCCTTGTTAATCAAGAATCTCGCTATGTCTGTTGTAGAAATATTCAATGACCCTGCCTCCATCGCTCTTTGGGGAAGATACTTCCAAAGAATCATGATCCTCTGAGCGAAAAATCTTTCTCATCTCATTTTAAAGGAAGAGCCTTCTTACCTTGAACTATGTCCTCTAGTTCCTGTCTTTCCCACAAGGGGAACTTCTAGCACCTATCTGTCAATTCCCTTCCAGATCTTCCATGCTTCTATAAGATCACCACTCATTCTTCTAAACTCAAGTAGGTACAGGCCCAATCTGTTCAACCTATGGTTGCCAATGTCATGCAATGCAACGAGGCAGTGCACCAAGGACTGTCTCAGCCAGAGCAGAGATAAGAACCCATATTATTAAACTCATTCAGCAACAGAATCTACCATCTAGCCGACTGAGCTGACCCACTCTGTCATTGTGCCTCTCACAGTGTGGTCGTCCTTTTTTGATATGAAATGATGTATCACCCACCTGATCCTGGACAATGTATCAAATACCTCAATACTGGCTGTTCAATGCATTTATCTTCATTCTTTATTCTTCAGTGACCCATTTCCCAAAGTCTTCAACAAATGCAATGAGAAGGAGCTTCAGAAATATCTGAACAACGGTGGAGGGATGTGTCTCTTCAACATGCCTGACACAAACACTCTGTACGGGGGGCGAAGGTGCGGGAATGGCTATGTGGAGGAAGGCGAGCAGTGTGACTGTGGAGAAGTTGAGGTATGTTGGCTCCTTAAATCAACCAAGTTTGAAAGGATGGAAGTTGCTGTTGGGGAATAGAGGAAGCTCCCAAAGATCTCAGAGGTTTTGAGGGTGATTTTCACGTTCACATCTTGGGTGTTGAATTTGCAGAGTAGAGCCCTTGCTTCGTAGAACATGCCAGTTCTTGCAGGGTAGGGAATCAGGTGGTTGCCCAAAATGTAGCATTAAATGCTCAGATGCATTACTTCGTGTGTGCACCCTCTCTGAGTGTCCATTCATCAGGATGAGGAGAAAAGTATTGATATTTCTGTAAATCTGAAATGTGCACAGACATGTCTGGAAGATTATGATGGTTTGCTTTTTGATTTGTCTCTTTGTGATGTGTGGGTACCACTGGCATCTGTTGCCCATCCCCATCAACCTTGAGCAGCCTTTCTTGAGGGTCCCACTCCTGTGAACTTGTTCCATATGATGGCAAAGAGAGAGGAAACTTGCAATGTTATCAAGCACGTTTCAGAACCACAGCACTTCCTGAAGCGTTTCAAATCCAATAAAGCAGTTTTGAAGTGGAGACCCTGTTGCAGTGTAGAGGAAGTGAGTCGAATTTGTGCACAGCAAGCTCCCACAATGAGCAAGGAAGCTGACGAGATTGCTGACAATTTTCATCAGCCAGAGAAAAGCAAGCTTAACCTTTCAAGTGAGGACTTTTTTAAAAAAAACTTCTTATTGTGTTTTCGGTTCAGAAGTCCTGGCACAGTTCCCAAAGGACTTATGTTTCTCATTATGTGAATCAACTTAAATAGCTGTATAATATAGAGCAGCTGTCTGCCTGTTCCTGAGGCTGTAGCTACAGATGGTAGAGGAAGGCAAGGTCAGTGTTTAGAAACTGAATGATTTTATTTCATCAGAGCAGTGAAGTGAACCTGAATTTTCCATAAGACACAGGTTAGATCTCAGCTGGAATACCATGTACAGTTCTGGGTGCCATACATCAGGAAAGATGTGGATGCATTGGAGAGAGCTTAGAGGAGATTGAATACAATGATTCCAGGGATGAGAAACTTCAGTTGCAGAATCCCTTCAGTGCAGAAAAAGGCTGTTTGGCCCAGTGAGTCTGCACCGACACTCCAAAAAGCATCCCACTCTATCCCCATAAACCCACGGTAGCAATCCACCTAACCTGCACATTTTTGGACTGTGGGAGGAAACCCACACAGACACCAGGAGAACATGCAAACTCCACACAGGCAGTCATCCGAAGCTGGAAACAAACCCAGGTTGCTGGCGCTGGGAGGCAGCAATGATAACCAGTGTGCTACTGATAGAAGACATGATGACTGCTTTCCTTGGGGAGGAAGAGGCACAGGGGAGATTTCATTGAAGTGTTCAAACTCATGACAGTGAGGACGGGGAGAAATTGTTGCTGCTTGTGAACTGATCAAAAATGATAGGGCACAATTTTAAAGCAATTTGCGAAAGACAATGTAATGTGAGAAGAAAGTTTTTCAGACAGCAAGTAGAGTATGGAACATTCTGCATGGATGTGTAGTGGAGGCAGGGTTCAATTGAGGCATTCAAATGGGTAATGGATGATTATTTAAATTGAAATAATGTGCTGGATTCTGGAGAAAGAGTGAAAGAATGACATTATGGTCATTAAGGAGCCAGTACAGACTTAATGGGTGAAATTGCATTTTCTACTGTAACAATTCTGTAATATAGTCCAGATTTTTGAGTAACCCACTTTTAAAACTGCCACTGCTTATACTGAAACCTGTCACATGATCTAATGCTTTGTCACATGTTAATTCTTTAATGGGGGATTTCAGCTGTACATCTTGTGGATACCTGATGTAACTTGGGTGACAGAGACATTATGAATGTAAAGAAATGACAGGTCTCTGTGACCTATCTGCAGTAGTTACAACAGGTAAATTTCAGCAAAGATCCATCTCTCTTTTTTTCTGTGCGTTGTACCTGGGAATAGGGATAGACCATTCCATTTGTTTTGATTTGATTTATTATCGTCACGTGTACCGAGGTACAGTGAAAAGTGTTGTCTTATGCATTTTACAGATAGATTGTGCTATACAAGTGCATCAGGGTAACAGAACAGAGTGCCAGATACAATGTTACAGCTGTACAATGTTACATTCAATGCTACTCAAACTACCTAGAGAAAGGTGGACCACTTAATTTTGGCCAGGTACCGAACATGGACCTCACTGATCTACATGGCTTCCTACCACAGGAAGGCCATGTTTTAAAGTCTGTTTCTTTATTGCTCTTTAGCATTTCTTGTGTTTATTTTTCAGGAATGCAACAACCCCTGTTGCCATGCTAATAACTGCACCTTGAAAAGGAATGCTGAATGCGCTCATGGAATCTGTTGTGAGAAGTGCAAGGTCAGAAGCATTTACATCATCATGCTTTCAATGCAGTAACATTTGGTGAATTGAAAATGCCCATTAATACATTATTCCACAGATTCGAAGCATCTTCTCCATGCCAGAGCTACATCTCAAATTCATAATAACAATGAAACGACCTGAGGTTGACCGACCAATAGCCTTACCTGCTGCAGATTTGACATATGACCTCTGAATGGTCCAGCAATGTGTTACATAGAGCGTTCCTGTCAGCAGCTCCACTCTCATGCACTGGTGGATTTCTCTTTTTTCCCCCACAGTTAAAAGCTCCTGGCACTGTCTGTAGGGCATCATCGGGACCATGTGACCTACCTGAGTATTGCTCTGGCAACTCCGAGTTCTGTCCAGCCAACTTCTACAAAATGGATGGTGCCAGCTGTGATGGAGGACAGGCCTATTGCTACAATGGGATGTGTCTAACTTACGATAGCCAGTGTGTGCTACTATGGGGCCCTGGTAGGTAGAAATCCCAGCAATCCTGGATTCAATTATGGCTCTTTTAAAAAAAAGATAGCATTGCTCTTGAATAATTGGCCTATTGTAGATAGATATTGATTCTGTTCTCTCTCTGCATGGATGTCGATACATGTTTTCTGTTTTAATTCATGAGTAGCCCTCATTGTTTTAATGGTCTTTTCCTGTTCTTATAAAATATTGTGTTTATTTAAGGTATAGTGCCCCACTGAGTTTTCTCTTCCGCATTTTCAGGGGCTCAGGCTGCTCCAGCAGAATGCTTCAAGATGGTGAACAATGCGGGGGACACATACGGAAACTGTGGCAGAGGTCCTGGAGGAAGTTACCGCAAATGTGAGACCAGGTAAAAAGGGCGATCGGTAACTTCACCTGCATTTAGTCAAATTTGTGCTGTGTAACTGGGGATGGTGGGTAGGGGCAGAGGAAGGGCTGTTCATTTGGCTCTCAGTGCAACAAATGGTCAATAGCAATTTGGCAGCTCTGCCATTTTGACCTGCCCTCAGGGACCAAGAAGAGCACTGAGGTGGAAAATTAACTCACGATTTGCAATCTCCTCATTTGTCCAATTGCTTATGAGCAACTGGAGTCATGCACACTGTCTAAAAGAAATAACCTGCATTTTTATGGTATCTTTCAAGAAATCAAGGCATTGCAAAATGCTTTATAGTCATTGAGGTGTCCTTGGGTGCAGTCATGGATTGTGTTGTAGGGAATAGATAGCAAAGCGGCCACAAACATCATTCGTTGGGCAATCTATTTTCCTTAGCGGGAAGGGGCAGCACAGTGGCTCAGTGGTTAGCGCTGCCATCTCACAGCGCCAGGGACCCAGGCTCAATTCCACCCTCAGGCGACTGTCTGTGTGGAGTTTGCACGTTCTCCCCATGTCTACGTGTGTTTCCTCCAGGTGCTCCGGTTTCCTCCCACAGTCCAAAAATGAGCAGGTTAGGTGGATTGGCCATGCTCCAGGGATGTGCAGACAGGCTGGATTAGCCATGGGAAATGCAGGGTTACAGGGATAGGTATGCGGTGGATCTGGGTGTGATGCTGTTCAGAGGGTCGGTATGGACTTGATGGGCGGAATGGCCTACTTCCATACTGTAGGGATTCTATGGTAAGTTACTGTGATTCACCCAGAGAATGGTTGGGATCTGGAATTCACTGTCTGAAAGTGTAAGCAGAACCCCTCAACTCATTTAATAGATGTATACCTAAAATCCCATAACTTGCAGGGAAACAGATTGTCTGTTGGGAAATGGAATTAGGTCATGCAGTTTGTTGCTTGGCTGGTGTAGACATGATGGGCAGATTGGCCTCTTTCGATGCCATATGGCTTTTTTACATTTCCTAAACATTCTAAAGAGCAGGATTGTGCATGGATCTGAGGAGAGGGCGGGGCAGAAGCCATATGGAGGGTGAGCATGGGCACAACGTGGTCGAATAGCCTATTTCTGTGCTGTTGTGATTCTGTGTTGTTCGAGCGATAAACATTCTTGCAGATCCCAGGGAGGACTTTGTTGCACTTCTTTGAAATAGTGCTCCTGTATCTTTACTGTCTATGTGAGAAAGCAGACAGGAGCTCAGTTAAATATCTTATCTGAAAAGCATCTCAGATAGTGCAGTATTTCCCCAGTCCTGCACTGGGTGTTAGCTTTGACTTTTGAGTTCAACCAAATGTCTGGAGTGGAACTTAAAACTGGGATTTTCAGATTTAAATGGGGAAATGCCATCAAATCATAGACAGCTAAAATCTGACTGAGGTAATATACTTCGTCGAACATCATCATTGATAGGCTGGGACTTTTTTCACTGGAGCGTAGGAGTTTGAGAGGTGACCTGATAGAGGTTATACAATCATGAGGGATAAAGTTAAAGTAAATTTCAGGTGTCTTTTCTCTGGGGTAGGGGATTTCAAGACTAGGGGGCATATTTTTAAGGTGAGAGGAGAAAGATTTTAATAAAAGACACGAGGGGCAACATTTTTACGCAGAGAGTGGTTCATGTGTGGAATGAACTCCCTGAGGAAGTAGTGGATGTAGATACAGTTTAAATGTTTAAAAAAGACATTTAGACATGAATGAGAAATGTTTGCAGGGATATGGGCCAAGCGTAGACAGATGGGGCTAGTTTAGTTTGGGATTATGGTCGACATGGACTGGTTGGACCAAAGGGTCTGTTTCCAAGCTGTATGACTCTATGATCACAAGTAATATAACTTGCTGCAACTAACACCTTTTGAACAAGTGATTAATAATGATTAATTCCACATTTTCATTTCCTTATTTTGGTCAAGCTGCTAAGAATAGCTATCAGTTGGAGACTACTCACTTTGTGTGCATTTCTGGAATCCACATTATAGGAGGGATGTGATAGCACTGGAGAGGATGCAAAGGAGATTTACCAGGATGTTGACTGTTATTAGTTTTAGTTTTCGAGAGAGATTGGGCAGACTGGGGTTGGTTTCCTTAGAGCAAAGAAGACTGAGTGGTGACATGAATGAGATGTATAACATTATGAGTGGCATACATAAGGTAGGCAGGAAGGAATTTTTCCCCTTGATGGATGGTTATGACCTGGGGGTGTAGATTTAAAATAAGGTCCAGGAGATTTAGAGAGGATGCGAGGAAAATCTTTTTCACCCAGAGGGTGATGGGAATCTGGAACTCACTGCCTGTAAGAGTGGTAGAGGAGAAACCCACATAACATTTAAGAAGTTTTTAGATGAACACTTGCAAGACCATGGTATACAAAACAATGGACCAAATGCTGGAAAATGGGATTAGAATAGTTAGATGCTTAATTTTGACCGGCACGGACTCAATGGGCCGATGGGCCTTTTTCTATGCTGTACATCTTTATGACTATGACTTTATGACATGCTCGAGGGAGAGTGATGTGAGTGAACAAGTGGGAGCGAAAAGGGTAAGAAATAGACTGTGGCAGTAAGGGAAGAGAACAGGGACACATGTCAATGAAAAGGTAGGAGAAATAATCGATTGAGAGCAAGTCATGGAAGGGAGAGAAATCAATTAGGGGGCATCTAAGAAAGATTAAAGGAGAGGAGGTGAAAGAGGTGCAGCATTGAATGAAAGTGTAGGGCATAGAGACAGTGGGGTTAGAATCTAGTCTAATTCTGCTTCTGCATCTGCAGAATACACATTAACATTCTTAATAAAGCAACTTTATCGTAAACGTTTTGGTCTCCTGTAGAATTCACATCCTTAAAGGTTGAAGTTGAATTATTGGCAGCGTTTGGAAACTAATCGATGCCATTCCTCTCAATCCTGTTAACTTTTAAATATGTGCCCTTTTTGTCATGGAAGGAATGCCAAGTGCGGGAAAATACAGTGTCAAAGTGCAGCCCAGAAGCCCCTGGACACAAATGCAGTTGCCATAGACACCACGATAATCTTGGAGGGGAGGAAGGTGCAGTGCAGAGGAACCCACGTGTACATGACTCCAGAGCTGGAAGGGGACATGCTGGATCCAGGGTTGGTCATGACTGGAACAAAATGTACCGAGAAGCATGTGAGTTATTTCTGCTCTGCCGAAGGTTTGAGGCTGACAAGTGGGTAGTTACTGGTCCGTGAGCTAAAGCAGGTTTAGATTTTGCGCATTTTGCTGGCAATTCCAGACAGTGGGTTGTGTGTTTCATACCCCATTAAGATCAACGGACACAAATAAAGTGGGGACTACAAAGTTATAGAGTCATACAGCACAGAAACAGATCCTTCGGTCCAACCAGTCAGTGCTCACTTGATGCTGCTTGGCCTGCTGTGTTCATCCAGGTCTGCACCTTGTTGTCTCGGATTCTCCAGCATCTGCAGTTCTTACTATCTATAATCCCAGACTAAACTATTCCCACCTGCCTGCGCCTGGCTCACATCCCTCCAAACCTTTCCTATTCATGGACTTATCCAAATGTCTTTTAAATGTTGCAATTGTGGCCACATCCACCACCTCCTTGGGAAGTTCATTCCACATGCGATCCACCCTCTGTATAAAATATTTGCCCCTGACATCTTTATTAAATCTCTCTCCTCTCACCTTAAAAATGTGCCCTCAAGACTTGAAATCCCCTCCATCAAGTTACCAGCCTCGTGGTGGGTATGTGTAGGGCACAGCAAATAGCACTAGCTACCTTGCATTGTTTCAGTAAGGTGTGCCCCACTTACCTTTGGTCCCACTGGGAATTCCAGGTGTCCCTCATCACACTCAACCTGTGTACTTACACACCCTCCATAATCTCCCCCATCTTCCATTTGTCCCAAGTTCTAGCATTCCCCACTCTTGCATTCAGCTCTCCAGTTTCCTGTTCTCTCCAGCTGCCCTTTCCAATTTTCCTGTCTTTCATTCCCCTCCCTATTTGTGACCCTCTCTTCATGTTCTGACACTGACCACTCACTGCTCTTTCTCCGGGATCCCTCTGGAAGTTGGGAGGTGTCTTGTTTGCATCCTTCTTAATATCAGTAGCTCTGCTTCAGGGTCTCCCAAAAAACACCTTCGCAGACCCAGTGGGACCTAATAGGAGTAAAATACTGCGGTCACTGGAGATCTAAAATAGAAAGTGCTTGAGAAACTCAGCAGGTTTGGCAGCATCAGTGGAGAGAGAAACAGAGTTAACATTTCTGAGGAGGAGTCATACTGGACAAGAAACATTAATTGTTTCTCTCTGCACTTTCTGATTTTACCCCTGTGACCTGTCTTGATGCCATCCGGGTCCTGATCATATTTAAAGGCCCCGCCAGAGTTACAGCTGAGTGAGGTGGAATTGCTGCATATGTTTGCCCCTAATGGGATTGCATTATGCATGAGGTTGGCTGATAGTCATGGCCATCTGAAACCCATTCCTTTCCTCGATCACCATGCACCAGAAGAGATGAATTTGGAGTACTGTACAGAATCCAGAAGCAGAACCCAGTCTGAATGCATCCTGTGGCCAATGGCTCTCTTGTTAGCTGGCTAGTAGTGTTAACATAGCACAAATGGAAAATAGAGACATCTTTTCTGGGAGACAGAAAAAATTAAGGGCAAAGGTGAGCTTTTTTTTAAAGAAAAAACTATATTCTGGGGACCTAGGCACAACAGATAGGCTGGCAACTATTGCCCATCACTTGAGAAGCTGGTAGTGAGCTGCCTCTTCACCTGTTTGTCATGGACCAGACCAGAACCACTCAAAATATTTTAAGAAGGTAGCCTAGACCCTAACATTTTCTTATTTTGAAGATAGATGTGAAGTCCCGTGTGCCAGATGCAATGCGACTGGTCAAACTACTCGATGTTAAGCAGAACACAATTTATTTGAACACTGCAGTTAAAATGCAAACAAAAGAAAGAGGAATTTACAACGACTTAACTATTGGAAAACTTAACCAAATAATAGATACAGTACCTATTACTAAATAACTGTTCAAAATAGTAACATTCCATAAACGCACCCCTTGGCGAAAAGGTAAATTCAGACACAGATTCTCGCAGAGATAGAAGGAACTGCAGATGCTGGAGAATCTGAGATAACAAGGTGTAGAGCTGGATGACCACAGCAGGCCAAGCAGCATCAGAGGAGCCGGAAAGCTGACGTTTC